GGCGGCGGGTGTGGCACCGTGGTTTGGGGGCGGGTGGGTGGGAGTGCTGGGTTGCAGGAGGGACCCCACCCTGTCCCCAGCCCTTTTGGGATGGCACTGAGGGATGCAGTGCTCTCCCGGGGGTACCTGCCATCAGAGCGGGTACCTGCAGTCCGGGATTTGCCCAAACCGCTGCCACCCGGCACGTCTGTGCCCCCCCGGACAGGTGACAGGGGCTTGGGGAGGGAGGTCTGGGGGGGTCTGGCTGCCCATCAGGATCAGGGTGATCCCAACAGGGTCCTGACTCTCTCTCTCCCCACAGTTTGGGGCCATCCGGGTGAGGTGCCTCTTCACCCCCTGCCACACCTCGGGCCACATGTGCTACTTCATGTGGGAGGACGGCTCCCCGGACGCTCCTGCTCTCTTCTCAGGTACCCCAGCCTGCTGCTCTGCACCCCATGGGCTGCTTGGTGCTCACTGGGCCCATCCCGTGCCTGGGGGCTCCCACCACATGCCCCCTCCCCAGGAGCGGGGACAGGGTCCCCTCTGTGCCCAGACCCCTTTCCCTGCAGGTGATACCCTGTTCGTGGGAGGCTGCGGGAAGTTCTTTGAGGGGACAGCAGAGCAGATGTACACCAACCTCACCCAGATCCTGGGGGCTTTGCCCATGGAGACGGTGAGTGCCCAGCATCTCAGCCCCAGCCTGGGGAGGGACCCCAGAATTGGGGAGGGGGGGCTCGAGGCTGGCAGTGCTCAGGAGGCAGTGCCCATCCCTGGGGCTGCAGTGGGAGCAGGATGGGTGGGAGCTGACAGCAGGTGCTTCCTGCTGGCTCTGCAGAAGGTGTTCTGTGGCCACGAGTGCACCGTCCGGAACCTCAAGTTTGCCTTGAAAGTGGAACCGGAGAATGAAATGGTGAAGAACAAACTCGCCTGGGCCAAAGTAAGTGGCTGTGCCCCTGCCAGGGGTGGGGGCAGAGGGGCTGTTGGGTGCCAGCAGGGTGTTGGATATCTCTCTGGTTCCTCGGCAGCAGCGGGATGACGAGGACTTGCCCACGGTGCCCTCCACGCTGCGGGAGGAGTTCCTCTACAACCCCTTCCTGCGGGTCACGTAAGCAGCACCCGTGCCTGGGGGGTGCACAGGGCCAACCCCAGACTGAGCCGTGGGGGGCAGGTCCCCAAATTCTGCTCCCCTTTTCCCTCCGTGCCACCCCTTCTCCCAGTGACTTTGCTAGTTGGTGGGAAATTCAAGCCTGAGGGAGAAGGGTTGCCCAGACTTCGGGTCCTGCAGTGCCCAGAACAGGGGTACTCACAGACGAGCCCCATGTGCCCCCTGCGGCCACCTGGGATGAGGACGTGACTCTCCCATTGCACCAGCCGTGCTGGGGTCCCGGCGGGGGGAGAGGGGAGTCCCTCCCCTGTGATGCCAGCAGAGCTGGTCTCCTTGCAGGGAGGAGCCCGTGCAGAAGTTCACGGGCAAGACGGACCCGGTGGAGGTGCTGAGGACCCTCCGCACCGAGAAGGACAACTTCAAGAAGCCCAAGGAGCGGCCCCATCCCCAGGCCGTGCTCGCCTTCGACTGGGGACTTTTCAGCCCCTTCCTCGAGAAGCAGTGAGGGGCTGTGCTGGGGGTCCCGGGGGTCCCCATCGCTGCTCCCCCGGGGCCGTGTCTGTCCCGCTCCCAGTTACTCCCGTAAGACTTGGCAGCTGGGAAGTGGTTTCTGTCTCTCACCTGCTGATTTTGAGGCTCTGCTTTGTTCCCTCCAGCCCTGCTCGAGTCCTGTGGGAGAAGGGAGCCTGTGGGTGCCCCAAGGTAGCTCAGCCAGCAGGGACCCCCCTGGTCAGGAGATGGTTTGGAGGAGAGGACACCCACTCTGGCAATGTTTGGGAGCTGCTGCTTGTCCTGCAGTCCTTTGTCTGCTGGAGCTACGGGGGTGTATGGAAAAGGTGGGGACCCTCGGGGGACCTTGGTGCTGTGCCCCAGGGACCTGCCCAGCACCCACGGGCTGTCCTGCCCCGTCCTGCCCTTCCCGGGGCTCAGCTGGAGCAGCTCCAGAGCCACCAATCTGCTGCTTGGCCGGGCTGGAGGCAAATCCCTCCTGTCCCTGCTCTCCTTCCGCTGTCCACGAGTTTCCCAGGCAGGGAACTGCCCAGCTCCACAGGGGATCACCAGGAAGCCGGGAAGGGCTCTGATCAGTTCAGCCTCCAGCCCTGGGCTAACACAAACCCTTCTTGCAGAGGCGTTTGGTGAGGCTTTTCCACCCCCCCCTTTTCTCCCCTCTTTTTATGGTAGGCCTAGACAGAAACATTGCCTGGGGAGTTGTAACAGTCACTGATTTAGGGGAGCCCCAAACCACTCAAACCGTGCAGATCCCCCTTCAGGTGGAGCTCAGCCCTGGAGGAAAGTCTGCTCTGACCCACTGGCTTTGTAAAATACTTTGCAAGGTGTGACACTTTCTAAAGCAGCCAACAGCAACGTGCTGCTGCAGGTCCCTGCTGCTGCTTTTTTCTCCCCCAGGATACAAAAACTGGAAAACATTTGGCTGAAACTTGTATTTCTGCTGCCTGTAGAGCAAGAGCTGGGGAGGAGCTGGCTCTCCTCAGCCTCTGCAGCCTTCACTTGGTGCCAAATCCAGACTGCATTTTATGTTTTTTTTAAGTGAGTAACGTGTACAGCTTTTATTTGCAGGTGCTGGGGAGGTGCATCCCAATCCATCCAAGTTTTATTTTTGTGGGAAGAAAACCCCAGGGCTCGATGGTATCCCTGGGAATAGCTGTGCCAATCCCTCTGGAAGGCCCAGGCTGGGGCAGGTGTTCCCTGTGGGACAGTGTCCAGGTCCCTCTTCACCTCTGTGTGCAGAGTGTGTGTCACTGTCCTGGTGTCACTGAGTTTACACCCAGCCCGTGTAGTTCAAGCCAAACCAGAGGAGCAGGAGCTGCTCCTGAAATCCTTCACCATGTCCTGACATTTTAAAATGTTGATTGTAAGTTTTGTGGCTCCTAAACACTGGAATTGAGTTGACTTCAGGATCTTTTACGTGTGGACTGTGAACTGCCTCCCTTCCCACTGAATCCTGGCTTGTGGCCACTTCTTCCCTTGCTAGAAACTAGACTGTTTTCTTTTTTTCCTTTCATTAAATTAGAGTGTTAAGAGTTTACTCTTTGCTAGAGGGGAAGAATTAACCCTGTTGCACAAACTGCCTGGGTACGTTTGCCTCAGAGGTTCCCGGTTTGCTGCAGTGGCAGCTGGTGAATGTTACTGGGGGTTTCCTCTAGAAGGGAGCAGAGATGTGTGTTTGGGGAGGGTTCCTGCTCACACAGACAGCAGCAGCTTTGAGCCTGCAGCTCAAAGGCTGGAGAAGTTCAAGCTGTTCTTGGTACCAAGAACAGACACCCCAGGGTGTCTGCAGGACCCAAGGTCTCGGTACGTTCAGTCTTTGATGGCTTCAGCAGCACGTGTTGGTCTCCTGGTCACTGGAGAAGAAACAAAATGCCACCTCCCCACCCCTCCATTGTTTAATTTACTGCTAATTTAGCTTTATTTATTTGTGCACTTCTGGCCTGCTGTGCATGTTCTCAACAGAACCAGGATGTTTCTTCTGCACTGATGGACAGTCCGTGGTCTCAGCGCAGCAGCGTGTTGGACCCGCTGCTCCAGCAGGGGGTGCCGGCGGGGGGGGTGCCAAATCCAGACTGCATTTTATGTTTTTTTTAAGTGAGTAACGTGTACAGCTTTTATTTGCAGGTGCTGGGGAGGTGCATCCCAATCCATCCAAGTTTTATTTTTGTGGGAAGAAAACCCCAGGGCTCGATGGTATCCCTGGGAATAGCTGTGCCAATCCCTCTGGAAGGCCCAGGCTGGGGCAGGTGTTCCCTGTGGGACAGTGTCCAGGTCCCTCTTCACCTCTGTGTGCAGAGTGTGTGTCACTGTCCTGGTGTCACTGAGTTTACACCCAGCCCGTGTAGTTCAAGCCAAACCAGAGGAGCAGGAGCTGCTCCTGAAATCCTTCACCATGTCCTGACATTTTAAAATGTTGATTGTAAGTTTTGTGGCTCCTAAACACTGGAATTGAGTTGACTTCAGGATCTTTTACGTGTGGACTGTGAACTGCCTCCCTTCCCACTGAATCCTGGCTTGTGGCCACTTCTTCCCTTGCTAGAAACTAGACTGTTTTCTTTTTTTCCTTTCATTAAATTAGAGTGTTAAGAGTTTACTCTTTGCTAGAGGGGAAGAATTAACCCTGTTGCACAAACTGCCTGGGTACGTTTGCCTCAGAGGTTCCCGGTTTGCTGCAGTGGCAGCTGGTGAATGTTACTGGGGGTTTCCTCTAGAAGGGAGCAGAGATGTGTGTTTGGGGAGGGTTCCTGCTCACACAGACAGCAGCAGCTTTGAGCCTGCAGCTCAAAGGCTGGAGAAGTTCAAGCTGTTCTTGGTACCAAGAACAGACACCCCAGGGTGTCTGCAGGACCCGAGGTCTCGGTACGTTCAGTCTTTGATGGCTTCAGCAGCACGTGTTGGTCTCCTGGTCACTGGAGAAGAAACAAAATGCCACCTCCCCACCCCTCCATTGTTTAATTTACTGCTAATTTAGCTTTATTTATTTGTGCACTTCTGGCCTGCTGTGCATGTTCTCAACAGAACCAGGATGTTTCTTCTGCACTGATGGACAGTCCGTGGTCTCAGCGCAGCAGCGTGTTGGACCCGCTGCTCCAGCAGGGGCTGCTGCTGGGGATGAACATCTGAAGGACAGTGGGGCATCCCGGGCTCCATCTGTGCCTGGAAAAAGGCACTTGCTGAAACCACCACTGGCTTGTGAAATGAACTGGTGGGGAGGGGGAACCCGCAGGAGATTCTTGCCTTATGAACACTGTGAACTCACTAATTGATCAGCAACACCCGAAAAGTGTAAAGCTTTTAATTAAAAACATAAAAAGTCTTTGACACTGATGGCTTGTTTTTAATGATGGTGGCTCTGGGAAGGACACGGGCACGTCCTGCCACAGGAGCTGTTACAGGAGGTGGGGCAGCCTGGAGCTGGAGGCTGCAGTGCCTGAGGAGGGTCTGTGGGGAGGGCTGGGCAGGGGTCAATGGGGCCCGAGGGAGTAACCAGCTCCATCTGAGTGTACTCTGAGGAACCAAGCAAAGTGGCAGCTTTGTTTTCAGTTCCTGTCCACTTTTTCCTCCCTGCACTTCCTTCTCACATAGCAGGAACTGCAAAAGGAGAATACTGAAGTGATTCAATGATGAGTCTCAAGTTGGTCTTCAGTTGCAGCACAGCACCCCAAGGAGAGTCCACGTCTGCCCGTGTCCCTTCCCCTCAGGGTCAGGCAGAAGAAGTGACTCAGATGAAAGGGACCAAACCAGAGTTATCCATTCAGTTGTTCTTCTCTGAATAGTTCTGCAAATCCCTGTGTGCAGGAGCAGTGAGCATGGCAGGCACGTGTCCTCTCCAAGGCCAGAGCTGTTCCACCTCCATCTGTCTTCTGGCATCAGGACACGCTGTGTTAAACCAGGGGTGTTTTCACTGCCCTTCTGGCTTCTTCTGGTAAACTATTTGTTGTAATGATTACACCTCACAGCCACCTGCTGTTAACTTGTGAAAAGGAACACCTCAGAGACAGCCAGGACTTGGTCCTTCACTGGAAGGAAAGCTGGCAAGAAATTCTTACTGTAAAGAATTGTCTTCTCTGAATTGAAGGATTATTGCCCACTAGTAACTGGCTGCTGAGGATGGGGTAGATGTGATAATTCTGTGACTCTCTACTGGGTATTTGGGGAGAGAAAAAGAGCTGTAATTGCCCCCAGTTATAGACTGTTGTAATTAAAAGAAAAAAAAAATCACTCTGACTTTTTCTTCTCCAGCCTTCATGCAAGTCCATTTCAGCAAGCAATAAACCAGCCCTACAGATGATGCTCCTCACGTGGCACTGGCTGCCCCTCTGACAGAGCAGGGACACTCAGCTGCACCTCAAGGACAGCCTGTCAGGGCCAGGAAAATGGAAAAACAGAACCCAGGGTCCACAAGGCTTGGTGCTGTGAAAATACAGCAAGGCCTGGATGAGGAACACTGACGTAGCATGAAGGGTCCTGCAGGTCACCTCCTCAGCACCTTCACCACCTGCTCTGGTAGGAACAGGGTTGCAAAGGGAGAGCAGTTTTAGTCCTCACAGCCTGTGCAGAGGCTTGGATCTGCCACAGGAGCTGTTACAGGAGGTGGGGCAGCCTGGAGCTGGAGGCTGCAGTGCCTGAGGAGGGTCTGTGGGGAGGGCTGGGCAGGGGTCAATGGGGCCCGAGGGAGTAACCAGCTCCATCTGAGTGTACTCTGAGGAACCAAGCAAAGTGGCAGCTTTGTTTTCAGTTCCTGTCCACTTTTTCCTCCCTGCACTTCCTTCTCACATAGCAGGAACTGCAAAAGGAGAATACTGAAGTGATTCAATGATGAGTCTCAAGTTGGTCTTCAGTTGCAGCACAGCACCCCAAGGAGAGTCCACGTCTGCCCGTGTCCCTTCCCCTCAGGGTCAGGCAGAAGAAGTGACTCAGATGAAAGGGACCAAACCAGAGTTATCCATTCAGTTGTTCTTCTCTGAATAGTTCTGCAAATCCCTGTGTGCAGGAGCAGTGAGCATGGCAGGCACGTGTCCTCTCCAAGGCCAGAGCTGTTCCACTTCCATCTGTCTTCTGGCATCAGGACACGCTGTGTTAAACCAGGGGTGTTTTCACTGCCCTTCTGGCTTCTTCTGGTAAACTATTTGTTGTAATGATTACACCTCACAGCCACCTGCTGTTAACTTGTGAAAAGGAACACCTCAGAGACAGCCAGGACTTGGTCCTTCACTGGAAGGAAAGCTGGCAAGAAATTCTTACTGTAAAGAATTGTCTTCTCTGAATTGAAGGATTATTGCCCACTAGTAACTGGCTGCTGAGGATGGGGTAGATGTGATAATTCTGTGACTCTCTACTGGGTATTTGGGGAGAGAAAAAGAGCTGTAATTGCCCCCAGTTATAGACTGTTGTAATTAAAAGAAAAAAAAAATCACTCTGACTTTTTCTTCTCCAGCCTTCATGCAAGTCCATTTCAGCAGGCAATAAACCAGCCCTACAGATGATGCTCCTCACGTGGCACTGGCTGCCCCTCTGACAGAGCAGGGACACTCAGCTGCACCTCAAGGACAGCCTGTCAGGGCCAGGAAAATGGAAAAACAGAACCCAGGGTCCACAAGGCTTGGTGCTGTGAAAATACAGCAAGGCCTGGATGAGGAACACTGACGTAGCATGAAGGGTCCTGCAGGTCACCTCCTCAGCACCTTCACCACCTGCTCTGGTAGGAACAGGGTTGCAAAGGGAGAGCAGTTTTAGTCCTCACAGCCTGTGCAGAGGCTTGGATGTATCACTGCTGCTTTTGATGTGTGTTTGAAGTCAGCATTTTGTTTTTATTTACAGCACTTCAATAACTATAAAGCTGCAGGAACTGACAGTGCCTGCCTGTAAGCACCTTCTCATCCCTAACCAGTCCCAAACTGCAAACTCCCCACGATGGCACAGGAGCTTGAGCTGCCTCTGGAGAGTCTGACCCACGACTGAGTTACAAAGGCACTGAGTACCTGTGTCAGGGCTTCCCAGCATCAAGTCTTCACCACTTGATGTTAAACCCAGTGCTTGTCTTCTCCACAGCGTGGTACTGGGTGTGCAGAGCCCCTGCAGCCCCCTCTGGGCCCCCCAGCCACTGCTGGTACAGCTCCCTGACAGCCTGGCTGTCCTCTGGAGCTGCAGGCTGCACAGACTCATACAGCCTCTCCACCTGTTGCAGCTGGTCCTTGCTGGCTTCACCCTCTGCTTTGATCTGCCCTCCTCCATTTAGGCAGCCTGGGTGCAACAGGGAGAAAAAACACTGGGTTTAGAAAGTGCTTCAGCTTTAACAGGGAAAAAAAAAACAACCAACTACAGCCAATTTGCTCTGCACCTGCAACCAGTTACAGCAAGGCAGGCACCAGTGTAACTGTGGTTTACTCCCCAGTTATCTCACCCCAGCAGCCCTGGGGGGGAGATGTCTGTGAGCAGGCTGCTGAGGCAGGCTGGGACCTGCCAGCAGACAGAAGCACAGAGCAGGGAGCTCTGGCTCTTATCTTGTGCCTCCAGAACATCCAGGTGGGAAGAGCCTTGGAGTCTCAGCTGAAGGTAAGATAAACACCCTGGGATGTGTTCTGGGTTTGCTGTTGGGGCACTGTGAGTTGAGCTGTGTGTGTGCTCGTGTCCTGGTGCTGAGCAGCCTCCTGGGGAAGGGGGCAGCTCTCCCCAGGGCCAAGAGCAGCAGCTCAGTGTCCTTCCAGGAACCTCTGCTCCCTGTGAGCATGTCCAAAGAGAACCAGGAAGGAGAAAAAGGAGGGCTTGCACAAAGTGGAAAAGGGAATAAAATAGGTAGAAAGAGACTTTCTTCACCAGCTGTAGCAAACATCCTTTAAAAGCATAATAGTAAATTCTGTGTAACTTTAGAGGAAGGATCTCTTCATGTGCCAAAGAGCTCAGAAAACCAGGGGGTCCTTTGTAGCAATGAAGTAATGTAGCCATTATGTGACCAATGTAGCAATGAGGTCCCTGAGCAGCCTCACCTGAGGGGCAGGCCATGACCTCCACGTAGTGATAGGGGCACTTCCCTCGCTTCAGCTTCTGCACCAGGTTCTGGATGTTCCGGAACCCGTAAGCCAAAGCAAACTGGAGCAGGACCACTCCATCCCTCTCCAGTGTCACCTCCTGGAAGTCCTTGTTTCTGAGGAACAAGAGCAGAGAAAATGCCTTACCCAAATTAACTTCTATTTTAAACTTCAAAGAGCCCTGTGCTAGAACAAACTCTGAAATGTTCAGGAGAGCTGTCCTAGTTCTTTGCCACTCAGACCAAACAGATGAAGGAACCAGTTCACAATCTTTTTCCAGTCCTGCCACTCAAACCCACTTTGCTGAGGAACACCTGTGTTGAATAAATCCTTAAAAGCTCAGCAAAGGGAGTCTAAACAAAAGCTTCATTGTGACAAGAGCTTTCTGAGTTGGCTGCAGCCAACTTGTACATTAGTGAGGCCACTGAGACCTTCACATTGTAGTGGGTCATAAAAACAGGGAGCAACCATCAGGGAAGGCTTCCAGACCCCTCAAGTTAGTGGAAATACCTGTTCCTGGTAAAACAATAATTTGATTTATATCAAGTGTTTCATACTGAGACTCTGGGGGATTGTTCTGAGAATCCTAAACAGAAATGTTGGTATTTAGGGACAGAATTAATTACAAATAATATCCTAAGTGGGAAGAAGCTCAGCTGAGTGGGCCCCTCTGCCCAAACTCAGTGACTTGCTTTTTCTGTCTTGCCAGTTAAAACAGGGCCCTAAAGTCCTGAGACAAGATTTTTCTCTCCTGTGATAGCCAGATTAGTAACACATCTGCTCCACTGGTGTGGCTGCAGGTGAGGAAGCCCAGCTCCATGTGAGCTCTTTCTTCCACATTACCCTAAAAACTGTCTGCAACTTGATACTGGGAAAATCTATCAGGTCAGGACAGTGTGTGGGTGGTGCAGGGCCTGGAGGTCTCCAAGGGAAAGGCTGCCCTGAGCTCTGGCTGATTTACTGCTCAGCAGCTGTGGGAGTGAGAAGCCAATTCCCATGGCTTGAAGTAAAATGTTTAACATTGCAAAGACAGTTTCAGCCCATCAGGAAGATAACAGCAGGGATGGAACTGCAAGAAAAACAGTGCTTTCTGTAGGACTTGAGACTTCTTACTTTAAAGGTTTGTACTGAATTGTATCCACATGAATTCCAAAGAGCTCCTTGGCTGCATGCTTGTAGATGTGTTCCAGATAGCCCCCAGACCCACCTCCTGAGTGGCTGGTGAGCTGCTCTCCTGCAGCACTGCTAAACCTGGCAGGGAAGAAAGCAGCAGTTTTAGGGGGATATTGGGTAAAACACAACAGCCAGCACTAATGCAAAGGTCCAGGGGACTCAAAAGAGAAGCCACAGGTTCCTTGGAGCTCCTGGCTTTTTCCCTTCCTCCTGGGAGCCAACTGTTTGTAGCTGCAGGGCCCTTCAGATTTAAGCCTGTGCTGCTCAGTGTCCTCTGGGGCAAGCTCAGGAGCAACACTGGCACGTGTCACTGCAAGGCCTGACCTGTGCACTGCCAACTCTGTGAGTCAAAAACACGTTTGGAAATGCTTGAATTTCCAGGGTGACAACCTGATGTGTGTGTGTTGTTGGTTTTCTGTTCAACATCTCTGCAAAAACATCCTGGGTTCCACCTAGAGGTGGGAGGAGGGAAATGAGGCAGTGGTGCGGCTCTGTGCAACCCTGAAGAGTCTTCATCTCTTGGAAAATACAACCTAGCCTAGGTCTTGGCTCTGTCAAGAGACATCCCATCAGTGCTGAAACTTCTCTGCAACATCATCAAAAGCAGAGTTGACTCTTGAAAGCACTAGTTCTGTGTCAGGATGCATATTCTGCAACCAGCTGCTTTAGTTGTGGCTGCTGGGCTGTGAGAAGACTTCTGGGAGGTACCAGAGCTGTGAGCACAAGCACAGGGAGGTGAAATCCCTGGTGCTGTGGTTTCACATCTTCAAAGTTCTGTCACCAAGGGGAACCCACCTACTGATGCAAAGATGTTTGTTCCACACAAGTCTGTCCTCAATGGGGGCACAGTTCAGGTTCAAGGCACTTCTGGTGTTGAACACCTAGGTTAACATCAGCTCTGTAACTGTAGCTCTGCACAAGTCATTCTGCCTCACTGACATCCCAAAACACACCAGCTATCCAGAGGTCAAGAGAATGTTTCTTGAGAATAGCTCACCAGATGGAAGCCACAACAATGGCTTTTGTTATGAGGGAAGAACAAGATGAGGGATCTGCTCCTAAGCACCCCCAGGCAGTGGCACTTGTGTTCCCCTCCCAACAGCTGCAGGGGGGGAAAACACTTGAATCCAGGCCAACCAGTCCAAAGTCAAACCAAAGATGTTGCCTCTTGCAGATAAAATCTTGGCTTTGGAAGAGCTGCAGAAGGCAACACTTCAGCCCCCAATCACCCTCAGAAACTATTTTTAATTTGATCTTGTTTACAGGAACTGAGCTTCATTAACAGCATGTTTCAGTGTGTCTGGCCTCACGTACTGCTGCTCTCTTCAGCTGAGGCTGCCAGGAAGCTCCAGAGCTGGCCTGGAGCTGAGGGTTGCACCAGCAATGGTCTGGGGATTTCTGGCACTTGATCTCACTCTTGCTGCCAAATATAATAACCTCTTAATGGGCTTTTCCACGTGCTGGAGGATGAAGCAGAACAACAGCCATTGGATTGCTGACAGGAATGCTCCAAGTTGTGAGGGATACGTGCTGTTTGTAACCAGCCCATTCACTGAGTGTTACAGCCAGCAAAAGGTTACAGAGGCACTTTATCACCCCCAGCAGGAGGCCTGGTGCTCAGAATGTCCTCCCAGCAAGTAGGCCAGAGATCTTTATCAATTAATTAGACATTTGGTTCTATGATATAACTGACACTTCCATAAAGTCATTTCCTAAGGGAACCCAAACACTTTGGGATCTCTTTTTCTTTTCCATTCTCTATTAGTGGTGTAACAACAAAGCAGGTAGAACAGAAGGACTTGTTTGCATGGGCAACTTCTGAAGTTGTACTTTTGGATTTCAGTCATGCAGACATTTATTATAGCTGAGGATACTGTTCTTTTTAGATGTGAAAGCCACCTGTGCATATGCTGTGCCAGGAAGAAAGATACTTAATCCTGGGAAAAGAGTGCATGAATATACCTGTACTAGTAAATGTGTGATGTGAAACCTCCACCTGCTGATGCCCTGCAGTGTAGCAGAAGGGAGGCTCTGGGCATGCACACTATTTTAAATACCTTCTTTAAATTCATTATCTGTTGCATGAAGGGGACTGGGCAGCAGCAGACTCTGCCTCACACTCCCTTTCTTTTCAGAAGCACAGGAGTGACCAGTGTTTGTAACAATTAGAACTAACCTAGGAAACAGGCTGCATGGAAGGACACTTCCCTTCACAGCTCTGCCAACATCCACGTGCTGATCAGAACTCTTGGGCAAAGGCTGCCAATGGCCTTGGCTGGTCTAGAAAGACTTGGAGCCTACTTAGAAATAAACTAGATTTCAAAACGAGTGTCACAGTTGGAAACTGACTAGTAGGACAAGGGGAAATGGATTAGAGCTTGAAGAGGGGAGATTTAGACTAGACATTAGGAGGAAACTCTTCACTGTGAGGGTGCTGAGACACTGGGCCAGGTTGCCCAGGGCAGCTCTGGCTGCCCCATCCCTGGCAGTGTTGAAGGGCAGGTTGGATGGGGCCTGGAGCAGCCTGGGCTGGTGGGAGGTGTCCCTGCCCATGCAGGGGGTTGGGTCTAGATGATCTTTAAGGTCCCTTTCCAACCCAAACCATTTTGATTATGAGAATCAGGTGCTAGAAGCTCATATTTGAGACATCCAAATTTCTCCTAAAAACTTAAGGAGTCTGAGCAGTACATTTTTGAACTACAAACTTAACCTTTCTTTTCAACTGGAGAAGGCTTTGGTTCAGGGTGGAGCCACCACTGCCTGTCAACATGGAGTCTAGTGTGATGTGTTTCTGTAGGCACTTGGATCTCTGTGCAGTTCTCACTTCCCCAGATGTTATTTTTCAACTGAAGGAACCAAAGTCTCATCTGGTTTGCACATGTTTTTAGATCTCATTTTTTTTACAAATAAAGACTCCTAGAGATTAGCTCAGTGACCCAACTATTTCTTATTTGTGCTTTAATTCTGGAATCCTTACAGTAGCTCTGGTAACTAGGAACAGATCCAGGCACACTGAGCTCAGAGCAGAACAGCCTCTCTTGTAGCAAACTCTTCTGTCACTGGTTTAGATTCTCTCATTTTTCAAAGTCTGTAGTTAGATTTTTGTGGGATCCCACCAGCCTTCCTGTGAGGGACTGAGGTAAATGGCTGCCATGCAATTTGTACTTCTCTGCATGACTGTTTTGCCATTGTGCTCTTTCTGAGCTAATTCCAGCAATCCTGCTGACTTACAGGGAGAGCTGCTAATCCCTGCACTACTGACATCCAGACCTAATAGTTACAGGTTCTCCACAAGTGGAGATGCAGCATATTCTGGAGATTTAAGTATTTTTGGTACAATTGTACTGATTCCAAACCAGTGACAGAAGGAAACAAGAGAAATGCCAAGACATGCAGCCCTGAGGAGAAGAGGAGAGGAAAGGCAAGTTCTGTGGAAGGGCCCTGTAAATACTGGATGAAGAAGAAAATACCTGAGGATGTAAATGGAATTTTGTTCTTACATGGAATCCAAAGGAGCAGGATCTACATCTGACAGGGATACTCCTTCTTGTTCCAACAGCTTTAGCACTTCTCCTAAAACAGAACCAGAGACATAAGAAGTTCTTATTTTGGAGAGAAAGGAAAACAAACCCACAGACCAGAACAGAAAACTGCATCTGCAGTTTTTACCATAATTGGCAGGACTGAAGTGTGATTGTACAGCAACACCCACCCACTCCAGCCTCTACCAAAGACCAAGGGTAATTAAAAGGAGCAAACACCTTGCTGAGGCTGACAGTAATCAGCTGGACTAGCTCTGGTTCTGCTCACCTGTGGTGATCACACAGTCCACCTCCCTGGTCTGGTACTCCTGGTTGAAAAAGTCTGGCCTTGAAGCCTCCAGCTTCTTGTCATAACAGGGCATGACTGTGACATGGTAAATCTGGTCAGGTGAGAAGTGCTGGAAGGAAAACAAAGCTCTGCAGTTGGATTGGTCACCAGCAAACCTAGCCTGAGGGAGGGATCTTCCAGCTCAAAGTGAGAATGATGGACCTAATGCCCCCATGCCTCTGGAAATGCTCTCCACAGTCACTGAACATTTAGTTGTGTATATATAGGATCACAGAATGGTGAAGGTTGGCAGGGACCTTAAGGATCATCAGGTTCCAACCTCCCTGCCATGAGCTGGGACACCTCCCACCAGACCAGGCTGCACAAGCCTCATCCAACTTGGCCCTGAACACCTACAGGGATGGAGCAGCCACAACCTCCCTGGGCAACCTGTTCCAGCACCTTCCTGCCCTCATGGTGAAGAATTTCTTCCTGACGTCCAACCTATATCTCCCCTCTTTCAGTTGAAAACCATCACCCCTTGTCCTCTCACTTCCTTCTCTGGTGACAAGTCCCTCTCCAGCTTTCCTGTAGCCAGTTCAGGTATTGGAAGGTGCTATAAGGTCTCCCTGGAGCCTTCTCTTCTCCAGGCTGAATATAAATACACACATACACCTGTATTTATACACTATTTCTGCCAGGGAACCCAATGCCAGTTTGTAGCCAGTATCAGCAGGTTGGTCTCTCACAGGTCTTTCCCCCCTCCTTTTGCTCATGCAGATGATCCAGACAAAGTCAGTGAAGTGAATTCTTAACTCTGCAGTTAGAGAGAGTGCTTCCTCCACACCACTGAAACCACTCTTGGCACAAGCAATTAAGAAATCATCTGGGAGACAAAAGCCTCATGGCCATCTGAGAAATAAGCACAGGCTGAGGAAACAAGTCATTGACTCAAGGCCTTTGCTTCAGTGTCTTGTGCCAAATACTCTGAGGAGCAGCCAGTTTCTGTACCAAGTATGCAGATGTAAGCATTGACTTCATGCAAGTGTTAAACCCCTGCTCATTAGTGGACAATAAATCACACAACCAGAAGTGGTGCTTAAGCTTACTGCACAAATCCAGGCTGTTGGTAGAATTCTAGGCTTTAAAAAACAAACTTATGTTTGGAAAGATTCCAGAGGTTAAAGACTGAGACCAGAACTAAGTCAAACTGGAAAGGAACATGAAGTTGGGAACAAGCAAGTAGATTTCAGACCAGACAGGATCTGCACGTATGCCCCAACTGAAGCTGTCTTAGGATAATTCCTTTTCAGTTACTAATCAGTGTTAAACAACATGAAAATGCCACACACAGACAAGATGAGAGCACAAGGACACTGGAAAATGTTTTTCCAGCCTTCCCAAATAACATGCAGAGGTTTTAAGTAGTGTTACTGTCCTAATTGGTCAGGTCTTGTTAGATAAACTAGATGTGAGCAAGATGCTGCCCTTGTTGGCTTCTGCCAGGTCATTTTTACCTTTGAAGGCTAAGATGCAACAGGCAGCAAACCAAGAAAGTATCAGCTTGAAGTGTTCAATTCTAGCAGTTTGCCATATAATATACACTGCAGCCCCTCACCTGCTGCTCTGCAAAATAGCCCTTGACCAAGGAGCCCATGACCTGCTGGGGAGACTTGGTGGTGCTGATGTACGGGATGATGAAACTGCCGTGGGTCTTCTCTGCGTAGCAGATCCAGCCTGGCAAGAGTGTCAGTAGCAAATTAAATTAAAAAGCCAGCAAGCTTCCCTTCACTCTGCTCACCCTCCCCCCAGGGTCAGTACCCTTTAACAACCATTTTCAGTCTCCCTTCATCACAGAAAGCAAAGGAAGAGTAACAGTTTAACACTGAGTTCTCTCTGTACTGTGAAGGAGTAATCCTCTAAGGAGGTTTTATCCCTCTAGGGAGATTGTATCCATTTCAACTTGCCTGATTAGCTTTCTGAATTTTTCTTCTTGTGTGCTACTAGTGTGCCATTAGGTTACTTCCCTACCTAACCTCATACTGTACCTGGGCAGGCAGAAGCCAGCATTGGCAAAGCCTTCTTGTCCTCAGCTTGCATTCGAAAGCGCTTTACGAACTCCCGCTGACTCTCCAACAGGCTGAAGTTCCTTGAGAAAGTTGTGTCCAAAACGTAGTGCACACCTGGGCAGGACAGCATCTGTGTTAACATCCACCAGAAAGATACAACAAACTACAACAAAAGCCTCCAGTCAAACTGGGTTCACCCTATTTGCAGGCATCAGCCTCTGCAGCTGCGGGTGACCTGCGGGGCAGCCCAGCGCGGTGAGGAGCAGAGCAGGCAGGAGCTCTGGCTGCAAACCTAACAACTCAGGCTCCTTCCTTCCCTCACTCCAAGTTTATTAGGTGACTGGAATTGCAGACAGTTTGCATTGTAGCTAATGCCAACCCTGAAACATGAGGAGGTTTAGCTACATCAGACTGGTGAGCCCCTAGCACCCAAGCCAGCCCCGCCAGGGGAGCAGGACACACCCCCGCACTTGCCTAAGCTCTTGAAGAACATGGTCAACTTCTTTGCTGTTTCCAGGACACCCATTTTATATCTTGCAGCCAGTGAAGCTCTGGATTGTGGTGAAACAGAAACCACCACCAATTTCTGTTCACTGGGAGAGGCAGCCTGTGAAAACAAACAAACCACTGTTCAGACAATAGGAACATGGCACAGGCAGAACTTCCAACACACGAGAACACCAGGAGGCATCTCCCAATCAAACCCTCAAGTCAGGAACGTAAAAAGGTCCTTTCCAATCCTATGATGACTTTTTAAAAACTCATTTAAAAACACAACAGTGCACTGAGACTGTCCTCAGATCCTTCAGAAACTGGAAGAGGGGACAGGTTAGATATCAGGAAGAAATTCTTTGCTGTGAGGGTGCTGAGACCCTGGCCCAGGTTGCCCAGGGAAGCTGTGGCTGCCCCATCCCTGGAAGTGCTGAAGGGCAGGTTGGATGGGGCTTGGAGCAGCCTGGGCTGGTGGGAGGTGTCCCTGCCCATGCAGGGGGTTGGAGCTAGAGGAGCTTTAAGGTCCCTTCCCACCCAAACCATTCTATGATCTCTCCAGCTAATTTTCATCTCTGCTGTTTCCACACATGCTCCTGCAGATCCATCACCCCAGCCTATGATCTCTCAGCTCTGCCTGGCCATGACCTGGCACCCACCTTGTTCAAAGCCAGCACTTTGCTGAGCTCTTCGTGGCTCTGCTGAGTGATCAAAACACTCTCAGCTGATGTGATGCAGCCACTGCAGGCTAAACAGTCGTTCAGGGTAATTTTTGCCTTCTCCAGCTTTTGTGCTCCTCCATCCTGGAAAAAAAGGGATCTCTGTCAGTTCTGATCACCCTGCAGAATTAGGCAGCAGTTTTCCAGCCTTTCCTGTATTTAGTAACAAAGATGTTGCCCTTTTTATGCTCTTGATTTATAACTTTTTAAAAGTATCTTTTCTCTTTAGTCAGCTGAGGAGCAGGACAAGGATCTTTGGGGGTTGCTGCTTTTCATGGGATTGTTTGGGAGAGAGATGCAAACAGGGTGAGGGACTGCAGGAAAGCTTCAGCAAGACTGAGAATGTCACTTTCATCACATACAGGACAGTTGCTCACACCACAATTATTTGTGCTCTCTGGTGGGCTGATACTGCTCCAGGACCAGGATTAGATATGGAATATCATGCTGGAGAAAGCAAGCCAGCTTTGTCACCCCTGTCAGATGACTGGGCAGTACTGGAGCTGCTTCTTCACAGGAACTTGAATTCTACTCCTAAACAGATTGTGTAACCAGACTAGCAGCTTGTTAACACTTTTAATTAATGCTGAGTGTTCTGCAATCCTTCTGTGTGCAAAACTTGCATGGCCCCTGGTGGGAGAACTGGGGGGCAGCAACTGAAAGGCAGCATGTGTCCCTGGATGGAAACACTGCTCATAATAGTTGACCTGGATGAGTCAGTTTCCCCATGGGACTCTGCTCCTAAACTTCACTTCTCACTAAAGCCAGAAACAGACCAAGCAATTAAAAACTATGACATTAAAATGTGAAGAGACCAGACCTCTTTGGAAGTGCTGCATCCCCCTTTTTAAAGTCAAGATCTGCTTAGAGTTAAGAGTAATGGTTTGTAGCTGAATCCCCAGCTTGGTTGACTAGTTCACACCTCTTCTGTGTGAACAGGACAAGGATTCTCCAAAACTCAGCACTAATTCTGTAAGCAAGAGGCTTATGAATTCTGCAGGCTACTTCACAAATCATTTAAAATATCATTTAAAAAATCAGGAGCAAAATTTAGATGGGAACCTCTCTGTGAGTGAGCACCCCCCTGCCTGGGAGAAGGCAGCAGGAAAAGCCTTTGTCTCAGATCATCTGGAAATTGCCAATATTTAAGCACTGATGGAAAAACAGACTTCTCAGCTCACCTGCTCTTGCACTGAACATCATCACTCAGCAGGGTCAGTGCTTCCAGGGCACAAAAGACTGACAAAATCTGGATCACTGCTCATAAAACTGGGCAATTAAAAAGTTGGACTTTGGAAATAAGATTAGTGAGAGTGCTGGCAGCAGTGGCAACACCTGCCTCACATCTTGGTCCTGCCTCAGGCACCAAGTAGCTGCAGCCTGGACAAGTTGTGCTTCATGACACCCTCGTGTCCTCTGGATATTTTAGACAATAATGAAGAAAAACCACACGTACCTGATTGATCTGGAAATAGGTTCCATCTGCTTCAATTCTGATCTTAGCTGCTGCTTTTCCAGGCTTTTTTTCCACTTTTACAGGTTTGAGACATTCCTGAAAGAGAAGCCAAGCCCGAGAGTGAGGAGATGAACAACCAAGTGTGGAGGAGGCAGATTTAACAGACACGGGGCAGCCTGAACCCAGACAGCAGTTGCAGAGGGGATGCTGCTTGCTGGCCCTTCAGCTGGGCTGGATCTACTTCCAGAGCCTGTAACCACCGAGGGAAAACGTCCAAGCAAAACCTGCTCACCCCTTTTTTACAGAAGGAACATTGTTCCAGCATCCCACCAAACAATGTTGCTGTCCTTCCTGAAGGACACCGCTGTGTTTTACGGAGCCTCGGGAGGAAGGGAGGCTTGTCTGGACGCTCCTCCTCTCCCAAAACCTTGGGGATGATCCCACAGAGGGCGGGAGGCGTGGCCAGCACAGCCCGCACGGCGCCGGTGCCACTCAAGTTTCATTTCAGGTCCAAAGGGCTCTGCCGAGCTCGGCGGGACAGATTCCAGCTCTCTGCATTGTTCTGCGAGGAAGTCTCAGGGGGGCTCTTTGCATTTTCTCCCATTATGATTGTTCAGGCACCTTGTGACTCCCTGTCCCCCTTGATCAGCTGGGGTTCTCCTCGCCTTTCACCACCCGCGCTGTGCCCCAGGCTCCAGCCCCCCGGTTAACCCAGCCCTGCTGCACTTTGCAGGGCTCAGACGCTGCGGGAGCCGCTGTGATTCCCCAGCGCTGCTCCCTGACTGCAGCCACGATCTCGGCTCCACACGGAGCAGCTGCACTGTTCAGACTTCACCAGGAATCCCTGCAGAGAGCCAAGGGGGCTCGCTGAGCCCCACGCCACTGAGCTCATGTCAGGATGGCTTTTCTGCTGAACTTGTCCACATCCAGGATCACTGTTCTGTACTTTGGCTGCTGCTTGAAGACTCGAAAAAGTTACAATCTTGACTCGTCTTTGCTGTTCCATCCCAATTCCTTTCCCCTCCCCTGCTGCAGGAGCACAGCTGTGTGCAAGGAAACTTGTTTAAGTTTTGGGGGGCGGGGGAGGATCTGGATCAACACCTGACGGGGAGGATCTGGATCAGCACCTGATGGGGAGGATCTGGATCA